CTACGATTCACAGTCAGTCCCACACACTGATTCTAACATTCCCGTCTGTCTCAGCGTCCTGGAGGGGAGCCGGACTCAGGTGGACCAGCTGTGGCGCACCTGTGACGGCGTTCCAAGCACCGACAGGGCACGAGCCTCGGCGGTCGCCTATCGCGGGGTACAGTACACAGGAAACACCAGCTACAGCGGCATCTCTGATCTACAGGCCGCTCTGATCGCCCTGGGAGTACTGCTGTTCCTGCTGGCCTTGCTGGCCCTGCTGTGGCTATGCTGCTGTACCAGGATCAGGTCAGCTGCTGTCTTGTTAGCCTGCGTCATAGATGTGTTGTCAATAGGTTTGTGTGTGTATGCGGGCGTGCACATGCGTGCATATATGTGTGACTGGCTAGACTGCCAGGTAATTGAAGACCCATGAGGTCCTGAGGTTATATGGTATATGGTTTATTATGTTATATGGTATAAAGTCTTGGGTACTGATAATTGAGGTGGGGTTTTGACCCCGTAGCATTTTCTTTTGATACATGTATTACACAAATAACATCTTCTGAACCTTCACCACATGAAGGTTTTGCAAGTGAATTTTTATTGGCAAGATTTTTGTCATGGTTGATTGAGACATGTGTGTTTATTTCTTTTTTTTTTTTCAGGAAGAGGACAGGCTACCAGATTCCTCCACCCTATGAGCCCCCACCAGCCCCGGAACCAGTTATTTAGTAAGTGTAGCTTAGCACAGAACAGCTGATGTGGTGTATTTACTTCTGGGTGTATTGTTTTAGGTGACTGAGCTGTGGGTTTGTGTGTTGTTTGTCCACAGAGAGTAGGTTGACAACACATGGGCGTGGAATGACTGACAGGGTGTCTTCACACTGAAGTGAACCTGTGTCCATTTAAAGATTATGAAATACTGTACATAGCATACATCCTAGGCACAACAAGTAGTGTTGTGAGTAATCCCTCAGCAGATCTAGATAAACAGTTCTTAGACAGTATTTCTTTCTGTCTTGCAGTGAGCCAGAGAAGAAGGAATACGAGACGCAGGAAGGGATCGCGACCTTTGGCCACGACATGGCGGAACCTGCGGTGGATAAGGAGGTCGTGATCACCGGCGAGTACAACAAGGGCTACGAGCACGCGGATGAGGCCCAGGTCGGCACCCTGTCCTTCCCACCTGCCCATGACGATGTGGGGCCAAAGTAAGTTCACAAATGTCGTCTGCGTTGACTTGGCTTTGAGACTGAAAAGTGCAGCTAAATGTCTATCTTAAAAGTTTGTTGTTCAAATAGCTATAAGATGAAGCCAATGTTACCTTTGAACATTGTGAGTAGGAAACTAGAGACATCAATGATTGAAGTTTTCCAGACATAATCACAACATGGTTTCAGTGTATAAAAATTTATCGTGCAGAATCTGCCAAACAGTGCCAAAACGATTTTATAGCCTTCTCGTCGAAGGCAATTAAGAACAAGACCCACTTGAATGTGCTATATGCTGGTTTAGGTACTCATACGCCTTTTTTGTCCAGGGTTGTTACTTATGCCTCCAACTCATGAGGGCACTGGCATGGTAACCAGTGAGTGGACATTCCTACCCCTTCATGGTGTCCCCGCACATTAGCCCTGCATATCAGCTCATAGATTAGGCAAACTAGAGGCACCTAGTCAACTTTGGACTAGTAGACTTTAAGGTCTGTCACTTGGTGATGCACTTGGTGATGATTGATCAATGATGATGCATTTGTTTAGTTAGAAACTGTAGAATTTAAAATCATATTACTAGGTTAGACATAACCCAGAGTCATACTCACCTGCTTTTTTTCCATTAGGACATGTTGCTTTCGGGTTCTCCCATCATTTGAAACAGGCACCATGAAGATGGCACAGTTTACTGTAGCTGTATTTGATAAAGAGGTCATTTTGTATATGCCAAATTGTTGTCATGTACATGTACCTGCACTGTTTCTGCTACTGCACATACCATCAATATTAGATATAAGAATAATTAATCAAATCACTTCCTACTAGTGCCAAAATATGATCGTGATTATTGTATATACTTGACCTACTGCTGATATATATTGACATTTGACATGTCTGTTTCTGTGACATCCAGTAGGTACTCCATTATGGAGCAACAGACCACCCAACTGTGACGACTCTGATGACTACCTACCAACACCAGCAACATCCTAATAGAATGGCCATACTGGGACTACAACATTTTGTCATGTATGGTTGAAAAGAGAGTTTTATAATGACTTTGTACTGGAATTTGTACTGAACTTTAACTACAATATTTGTATTGATGTATTGATGATAGAAATAAGATAGAATTTGTGTCTGTGGGTGGAGTTAGAATGGCAGTCATTTTAGTTATTTCACAAATAGATATTGCACTACAGTGAGACTGTAGACATTGCTGTACTTTTAGGCTTTTACTAGATGAAGATAAAACCCATTAGAGTGGTGCTTAAAATAGACGGTCGTATTGTGTTTATCAAGGCAGCTGTACCAGTACAGAGAGGGATGTGAGATTATGCACCAGTCTGCAGTTTTACTAGAAGTTTGAAGTCAGCACATTATCGTAAAACAGCAAATACTGGAATCTGTCAGTTGATTGAAAGTATAACTTTTCATGACTTTTTTTTTAAATTATAAAGTATCGAAATTGAAGTTTCGAAATTATTTAAGATGAAAAGTAACAAAGAGGGATCAATTTCAACCTTCTCCCATAACCAATGGAGCCAAAAAGGATTTTCTGTGTGCTATAAGCCATTTGGCTACAAATTCTAGCTTGAATTTCAACTTAGTATAATGTTATTTTCAACACTTCTATTTGCTAAGATTGTCAAATTGAATATCGAAGTGTACTTGGAATGAAACTGAAATTTGTTGTGCTTATAGAACTGTTGTAACAGTTGAAATTTGTGCTAGTTCCAGTTGTTTTTGGCGATGCCTCAGGAGTGAGATTTCCAATGTACAAAATGTACCAGTTTATGTTGATTGTAAATATTATGTTAACATCTTTCACTTAACAAGGTTGCAATGCTTTTGTATCTTGTTGAAGACATTTAGTTTTGAAATATTTGTGTTTTTCCTATGAATAGGTTTTGATATAACCAAGATACAATGTACTTTCCAAAATAATCAATGATAATATGGTGGGCCATGCTTGATATTTTGTGCTTCTCTTGTAGTTTTTGCATGTGCCATTAGGTCTTGTATATACACAGCATAGAATAGGGTGGAAAGATTTGCTGCTGCACAAATTGAATATTATGAATGATGCTTGGTGCATTAAGCACTGATTTTTGCCTATGTCATTGGATACTTCTCCCAACTGTCTTGTCTGTTCACATTTGTCTTACAATCATCCTACAACTGCAAAGTTTAACTAAGAGCATTGTTGGGATATATTATACAAAATTCAGCTGTTTTGTCATATCAAAGGTCCAAGATCCTTGTTAGCTGTTGGCTCTGTCACAACCTGCTAAGAAAATTCAAAATAATGTACAGTGTACAAGTGACCATGTCATAAGCAGCAAATTTTCATGCATGGAGAGAACTGTTGGGAGAATATTTGTTTGTGAACTTTGAAGCAGACTAGACCAGATTTTCAACTCCTTTCATTCTAGGACTTCAATTCCTGCCGGTATGTATGCATCTTCTTTCAAATCTCTTGTTCTGATACTGCCATGAAGCTTAGACATCTTACATCATAGCAATTGGATATTCATGCAGGAGTCATATGTTTCAGATAGCATCTACTTTATAATATCTTCTGTACTCACTGACAAATGATAGTGGATACCCTCTGAATTATCTGTGTATTACTTTTATTCGGACAGTTTCTCAATCCTCATTACCTCTCTATGACATAGTTCCGGTAGATATCCATTTCTAGAGAATAAAATGGACTTTGTCTTTACTATCGTGTGAGTTGTTGTTTGTAGCAGGATGCATGTTTTTTCACTGGCATTGAGCATGGAAATGCACCCAACGGTAAAAAAATAGTGCCTCCAAATGGCTAAAATATCTGGGTCAGAGGTCAGTGGCCATGACAGGCTGCCCTGAGGAGAGCTCCCTCAACCAGCATTCAGATGAATCCCATCTAATCCTTGGTGAGGAAGGCTCCAATGGGCCTAAATGTGAGCCACTCACATCTTAGATAGGGTTTCCAGTACAATGTCTGTTTCCTTTTTACGTTTTGTTTGGTAGTTAGCAGACTTTTCAAACATGGACTATGGAATTACCCACAGCAACCCAACTCCCACCCCGGGTGACTGACACTGAAACGGGGAGACATCGTGACTTCTGCCAGTTTGTTCTTATTTCGTCAACTCTTCCTTGGTTCTGTGCTCAACTTTGCATGACTTCAACCTCCTGAGGACTAAACCTCATTTAAAAATCCTGCCATTTCCATGGGTGGTGGCGTGTGCTTGTGGCAAACATCGACAGACTGGTGACTTGGTACAATGAACCCTGCGGCTACACAGATGATTGGACTGACTCTGCAGTACAACAATGGGTAGGTGCACACACCCCAGTTAGTGGGGAACCATGGAATAACAGTAGTGCCCCCTGTTCATTACTGAGCATTAGAAAAACAATGGAGTTAAAACAATTAACTCTATGGAAAAACTAATGAAAGTTTCCTATGGCACTAGGGTTAAAGCCTGGTGTGACTTTGATGACATTTTTATTAGAATTCTGTAATAAATTGTTCCAGGGTGAGAAGCCAGATAAGTGGTCACTAGGGAATCTCGTACCTATACCAAAATCTGGTGATCTAAGGGAATAGTAGTATGCTAATTACAGAGGCAGGCTGTAATTACTCTAGGCTGTAAATGTTTAGTATGATTGTAGAAGCTTCATTGGGATGAGGTTGTGTTTGTAAGTAGGGCAAGAACCTTTATCATTTAACGTTTATCTGAATTGAGTTTGACAACCTCCAGTATTGTACATTCCACAAAAACATCACATTACCACAGCCACTCCAACAGGTTTGCCATTAAAACACAACTTTATTTTGAGGAGGCAACATAGCTTACAGCTGGAAAAAGGCACACGTAGGGGAAACATAACACGAACCTCTACGTGCATTTGGTACTTCAGGAAAGTAACCAGCACAAAATGGCACAAAATAAAAGAATTCATAGAGACAGGTCTAGAATCTAAACAGCAAAAGGTTTTCCAGTACAGTCATGCTTTCTTGTCCATGTGACAAGTCAGTGAAAATGTCAGAGATTTGTTAGGGGGTCAGAATTTTTGGTAAGGAACAAAAAAATGTGTGCCTCTAACAAAGTAACTTTCGCATTCTTTCGAATGAAAAATGGAAGATGATTTTTCAGAGTACTGTTGACAGACATGTTAGGAGGTTGAAGGAGATTAAATTGATGCCACAGTGATCCCTATTTTGAATATACCAGCAATGCTAATTTCTCTTCTATTGAAGAAACAGGGCTTTGTACATAGTAGAGTTTTAGGTAGAAACAACAGGTCCCAATCCACCAAAGTTACAAAATGCACACAGAAAACTGGCACTTGTGGGGATCTTGGAGTTTCAAGGTGGAAACAAATTAATCTATACAAACTTCATAGTTCAATACATCAAGCAAAGCAAAAATCTTTCTACCTTTTTTCATGTCACATACATCAGAGTGGTTTTTTGTTCAAGACATACAGTTTTGTTACCATCCAAGGTCAAGTACAAGGGGAGGGGAGCAGTTCTGTGGCAATGTCACCTTGCATTCTTGTCATGTGAGGTCCTTGACAGAAAGTTTACTGACCTCTGTATTTCACTCCATACCTAAGGAACATATCTTCTCAAGTCTTCAGTCACCAAAGAGAAAACCAAACAACACTTGCCTCAGAAAAAATGATTAATACAGCAACACTAGTTCTCCTACCATACTTATTTACCCATTTGTGGAACTAAACATGTTAAGTAAGTACAAAAAAAGTCAGCGTCGCATTATAAGTGTACATATCAAAGTTGTCACCACTTTTTCTCACATGCCTCCTTTTGTAATTTCTTATATCTAAGTGGTTAATTATCCCTAAAAATGTCTATATGTGTCCAATTGCTCATTATCAATAGTCGTTTGCTGAACAATCCTACCAACCTACGTACTACTATAGCAAGCTATTACAACATAAATCCACAAAATCTATACAAAACATGGGTTATCCCACAAAGGTATATCAGTCAACATACTTATTCAAGCGTTTTGGATTGCAGGTGAAAATTTCAAGGCGTCATTTCCTCACTTGATGTGTGTGTTGATGACTTGGAATGTTCTATTCACACGTCCGTGCCTATCATTCAAAGAAAGTGAAGAATTGAACTACTGTTAAGGCGTTCATTACTGTGGGGAGTACAAAACGGGAGTCAAAAAAGCCTGTAAGCTACATATTTATCAACACACTAATGACATCAGGGAAAGGGCAGCCCCTGATTCGTCGAGGGGGAGGATACACGTCCCTGATTGGTCGGTTGCACCAGGATGCGGGAAACACATCTCTGCGGCCCTGCCATGTCAACCTACAACAGCAGACACTTCGGCTTGCGCTTCCTCTTCTTATTTGCCAGTGCAGCCTTGGTGGCTGTTTCAAAGACCTCTCGCACCCCCTCTTTGGTCTTGGCTGAGCACTCAAGGTATGCAAAGGCCTGGAGGAGGGACATAAGAGAAAAATTAATCTCATTCAGGAACTAAGGACTAATCTCTGAATATGGCCTTATCAACCAGCTAAATTTCCTAATAATTTCAAAAGCTTCATACCGTGGAATGGTCAAGACGTCCTCCACCCTTTATGCATCATCTCCCCAATATTGGTCACTTGGCTTCCTCGCCATTACTAGTACATTAATGAACATGGCTAGAACCCTGTTATAAGTAACATGACAACAGGTAGAAACAATAACTCACATTGATCATCTCTGCCATATGTCGCCCTTCTTCTGCTTTGACTGGTTCTTGCTTCATTTTGGCCAGCTCACGCTTAGTCCCCTCATCGTTCCTCAGATCCTTCTTGTTACCCACCAAAATGATTGGCACGTTAGGGCAGAAGTGTTTCACCTCTGGTGTCCACTTCTCTGGGATGTTCTCTAAGCTGTACGGCAAGAATTACAACATTGATCTCTCATTGGTCGAATGCCTAATTGCCATCCTCTCATTGGCTGAACTGCCAACTGTGATGGACGGTCAGGAAAGTCTATACCATAAGCATACAAAGTATACAAAAAACTATAGAAATCTTACATTAAGTTACATGTATGTTCAAATGTAGAAGAAACTGTGAAAAGTTCTATGCTACTTCTAGACTATTCAAAGCATTAAAATGGCAATATAATGCAACAACATATGCAATGTATCATGCATAACAAATAAAATATCATAAATTTGCAGTAAAGAAGTCACTGCAAAAATAAAACCACTAATATTTCGAGAGTTCCAGTACCTGTCTGGGCTGTCAATGGAGAAACACATGAGGATGACGTCAGTGTCTGGGTACGATAGCGGACGCAGTCTGTCGTAGTCCTCCTGGCCAGCTGTGTCCCATAGCGCCAGTTCCACCTGTAGTGAAGAGAGATTTTCTTATAGTTATACATGGAATATCCAACATGACCTGTAACATGAACAAAAGTTTCACATTTGCCTCAAATTCAAGACCACATAATCTCGTGTTGAACCATGTTAATTTATTTCAGCAGTTTTATTTGGGCCTGATTAGGTAAGTGCCTAAAAAATGAAAATTAAATTTCAATAGGAGGACAACAGCATGTTATCAATAGTATTCTATTGCATTATTTTTTGCTGGTTTCAAAAAAAAAACATGGACATCATCATGTGCAGTTCAAGTTCTGAATCAAACCCAAAACATATTGGTACCGTCATTTGTCACTGTCTTCTTGGTTTTCACAGTTTTCCCCATTGATCAATGCAATGATTTGATTACAAGACGTTCAAAAGTGATTGTTAAAGTTATAAACAAGTCTAGCACAAATTGGTGTGGCCTTACAGTACTATGACATCATCAGTACTATAGTGGATGATGACTCATCTTGACATTGTGGCCAACATCACAGATACTGTCAGAAGTCAATATTGACACTGGTGGAGCCTCAGATGTTTACAAGATGGCCTTATTTCCTGGTATTACTCATGAATTTCATAAGTCAGTTACTGAAGTTTATCACACGGCCATTCTTTTTAATACAAAATAGAGTCTAAGAAGGAACCATCACTGTTACATATGATGTGAGGTAGCAGAGAGGTTTCTGTTCCTCTTCCTTCCCATACATGCATGGTTCTAGGAGACTTGGATAAAGAACTTCTGCAAACTGATGCTATTTACTCCTCTAGACATGTTATCTGGCAGATGCAGACCACAGCAGACAAAGCTACTGTTCATCAATATTGATACAGATTCATGTACAGATAGGATCTACAACATACTGTACAGTCTGTAGTTGTTTTTCCCCTAGATTTTTTCCCAGCCTATAGGGGTCAGGTTTAGATGACCGACTTTTCGTGGCACTCATGGCACAAGCCTCCTGTGGAGTGCTGATGATATGATCACAGTAGGGGGTCTGACAGCCTCCCATGGGAAATTTTAGAATTCATACAACCCTGAGATGATATGGGCTTATTGAAGTTATTCAAGTTTTGTGAAGTAAATTTTTCCTCCTTTTACAGTGAATTTGATGTGCAATCTACCTTTCTGAAGCACATAAAATAGTGTTTTGTTCATGTACAAATATACCTGGGACCATTATATGTCCAGATCTGTACCTTAAAATGATTTTACTGGTACACGGACCTAGAACTTCGGGTCTTGTAAAAGGCAAATTTGACAAAACTGGGAAATTTTTCTGTTTATTTCAATTTCGCCAGAGCAGAAGTATGCCATGAGCCCATGACTAGCTAGTAGCTACCCATTTTGCCCAGGTCTTCATCTGCTACTTTGTTAAAACTTCTGTTTTCCAGACTTTAAAGTTTCTACTGTTACTCTTTGGTAATCATTAACATTGTTCCTATTAAAGTGTTGATTTTCAGGTAAGATGGCAGAACCACTAACAAGAAATGGGATATGGACAAAAGTCATGTGGTGAATGTATATACATTCAGTATCAACAAAAATTGTGCAGGCAGACACATTGACAACAATGAATTTTTGTTTTCCTTTGGCTAACACAACAACATAAACAAACCATTTTGTTATATAATCTTCTTCAAAACTTAACATTTCTTAAATCTTCTGTATAATCATCTTGACAACCCAGAATGTTAAAGGGGTAGAAATCAATCTGTATTGGCACGCATAATATAAAATTTGGTAATAACAAAAATCCATGACACATAGGAAGTTGACGGTATGTTAATATAGTATGACGCAAGCTGTTTTAGAAGGAAACTTAACTCCTTTTGATCCCCTAACCTTTGCCTTGTGATCAACCAACCACAGAGTATGAGTCAGACAGTGAACGTACCTAATTTTAAAGATGTAGTACAGAACTGTTGCAAATGGTTATGTTTTTGCACATTATGAATCCATAACAATTGGTGTAAAAGCTGTCAGATTGAGTTTTAATTGTTGTACACAGGAAAGCTGTGGTGTAGCGGGTGTTGTTACGATAGGAGATCGGGTCACAACCGTCCCCTGCCCCAGCAGATATGACCTCACACCCGTGGTATGTCATCATGGTACACCCGCCTCTTCACCCCCCACCATTCGCCTCACTGCCTCTCCCCACAAACAAAACACGCCGCAAACTTACACTACAAATATCCATCCATAAAGACGGCATCTGGACAAGTTCTGCTGGTTTCGATAGCCCCGTAGTTTTACAACGATGGTTGAAAGTTTGGCGATGTTTTTTCTGCACAAACCGAGTAGTCAGCACCCCGGAAGGGCGTGGACCTCGCGCTACAGGCAGAATCAGCGAAATTCTTACCACCGCTTTCCAAACAAATAATTTACGGTCAAAAACAAGTCAAATGTCTGGATATTGAGGGTGTTTTACGTGGTAATTAGAGGCAAATTCTGAAGGACAGATTGCTTTTGTTGTGATGCAAGGAAATACGACCCTATTATGGATAAATTCAGGGGAACTGGCAAAGCCGGTAAACACACAAGGCGGTAAACCGACCATGCATGCAACTAGGCTAGCTTTTCTTGCCTTTTTACGCATGCAGGCCTCATAAGTGTGGCAATCCGAACGTGCCATCGATAAAACACGACTTTGTGCGACAAACTACAGCAACCATAATCATCGGAGAAGAGAAATAACTTACCAATTTTCCGTCAACTTCGATGTCTGCTACATAGTTTTCGAAGACAGTGGGCACGTAGACCTCCGGAAACTGGTCTTTGCTGAAGACGATTAAAAGGCAGGTTTTACCGCAAGCACCGTCGCCTACTATCACCAGCTTCTTCCGTATTGCCGCCATTGGTTCTAATGGCTGGGTTAGGAGGTTTTAGCCGAAATCTGTGGCCAAATTTCTCTTGGATTTCAACAAAATCCTCTCGAGGAAGAAATTCAGACAAATTACTGTTAGAATTCAAAATGGCGGCACGCAAAGCACACTGGGCAATCCACACCCACCAGCATGCTTTGCGCGCGAGTAGTTGCGGTGGAGCCTTTTCGGCCATTTTCAAAGGAGGCTATGCTTTGATATGGAAATCGGACGCGTTTTCCCATTTAGCAAACAATTACAAAGTGCATGTAGAAGTGTATCACAAGTGTATTACAAGTGTAAGAAACTCTCAGCAGCAACGGTGAACAGAAGTTCAGTCAAAGCCTTCAAGAACAAACTGGCAACGGAATGGAGACACCACCAGGACCACTTCTCACCAATTGACGTGGACTAGATGAATATCAGGTGAATACAATGATTAGATACATTCATTATTATGGAATGACAGTATCAAATGAAATATTGTACTGTTGATGTACAATATTAAATATTGTACTATTGATGCTTTAAATTGGGAAATGTTTTGTTTTACTTTTGCATTTTTGGCAGTGGCCTCTTACCACAAAATTATACCACAAATACCAGTGTGATTTTACTGTACAACAGAATTATTTCAACTTTGCCCAAAACCTCTTTTCCCCTCCAACTTAAAAATAAAACTATTGCAAAAGCAAAAGCACTTAGCCACTTACAGTACTACTTGGTACAAAAAAGATGTGTGGAGACCAAAGCACCAAAGTTGTGTTGCAGATTTATTAAACATAGTGAGAAGCAATTAAGCCAAACAAATAAATCTGACTTCAATCCACTCTTGGGAAAATGTTCCAATTCCTTTCAGCATTATAATGAAAACTGCCAAATTTAGAAAAGCAAGTAGTATAATCATAACATCTTGATGCAATAGAACGCTGCAGCTACATAACGATACCACATAGTGGATATAAAACTGTGAAAAGGTCACAATAAGTCAAGCTGCTTAAGACCAGGTTACACCGCATTGGTTACACTACTAGTATATTAAAACTATGATTGATAACTAGTTAACTGAAATTTTTCAACAATCTGCAGCCATATTCATCATTTAAGTACATGTCAGAGGCAACATAAGAACAAATCTTTCCACTACATACCCTTAACATATAAACCATAAGTTCAGATCAATACCTAAGAATCAGCACAAAACAGCAATAAAACATTGAAAGTTCATTTAATTAATATCCACCCTGCTGAGCTCAACTCAAAGGTAAAATGCTACAACATTGTAATAGATTTTTCTCACGTTGCCCTTAATCAAAAGGTCAAGTTGATATAGATTCCAGTACTTAGTCCACATACAGTTACTGTATGCTGATAAAAATACAGGTATAATTTTTACTGATTTCATTGTGTTATAGTGCAAGGTATTCTGTGAAGTAGCCCCACATTTCTATCTGGAAGCTTGGCAGACAGAATTATTTTACACAATGAAGCATAGTGTACTAGATAACATATTGTGCACATACACATTTCATTTACATTCCGTATGGCACTGTCTACCGACTTCATAAATGTCATCAATCTATATGATATATAATATCATAGGATTATTAGAAATTGCATATAGTTGTGGGAGTCCAAGAGGATATACATTTATTTCTGTACATGTCACCATTGCAGCATGCTTTTTCCACTTTAACAGGAATTGTCCAACTTTTAAAATGCTGTCTGTTACAGCCATAATATAACTCTGACTCAGGGGTATGGATACTTTGTTCTTTAGCTATTTTGGTATTAAGTAGGAGATTATTTATAGGATAAAAGTGACTTAATTACTTATCAATCATTTATATTGACTGTTATTTGTATGTTGACTGTCGGCATATTATGATTCAGATCATCATATCACATTTATGTCCTGACCTTAGGAATAAATTTTAAAGAAGAAAGACAACACAATCTCAACTACTGACATCATGGAAGGTTTTTGAGAAGCATTAGGGCCTTTGAAAAAGATGTTGTGTTTCCAACCATAGTAAAAGCCTGTTGACCCAAGGTTTAAAAGACGCTTTTAAACCTCCATGGTTGACCCTAGCCTTTTATTGGAGGATCAACCCCTGGCAAGAGATATAAAATTTTTGAACTGACTTCTGAGACATAAAAATGTTGTAGAATCGTTTTCCAACATGTTTATTCTGATTTCTGCAATAGATAAAAGTGATAAAAATTCATTGTATTCAAGAGAATCCCTACCTACTTACCCTAGTTTTTTCAGGACCATAATCTGAAACACAACATTACTTTTTCCAAGCCTAAGCAATGCACAACATAGGAGCCTAAATTCAAGGATCTGAGTAGAATCGAAAGAGACCAAGAAGCACGCATAGTCAATTCACTGCAAGAGTCACTTGGCTTTGATCCTATGAATTGAGAGAACTAAAATGGCAAAATGTCCAAAGTGGCAAAGAAGAACTAATCCACCCCAGCCCATGTCTTCTGCCGCTTGGCCTCATCATCATTGTCACTGTCATTGTCCGATGGCCGTTTGATGTTTCCAAACACGGCGTCATGGCTGAGCGTATGTGAACCCGTGAAAATTGGTCCACTTCTCTTGGAATGCACGTCCTTTGTAAACATTGTATGTTCCGGGAGATGCTCCAAGGTATTGTTGCTACTCGCAGCCACAACCTAAGAGACAAGAGAAAACAGTTGCATTCAATGTCAATATTCAAATCTCTTGTCAATTTTTTCTACAAATTATCTGCCCAAAAAGACAGGTATATATGCTCTGCATACACAGACTTAACAGAGGAAGCAAAATAAGTAAAATACAAAACAGCGCTGTTCTGGACAGGCATACATGTAAAATGTAGATGCTGGAAACAAGGCTGGATAAAAAGAACATAAAAAAGTGTGCAGACACCAGGCTATGCAAAACCGTAAACCTTTATATGTTCACATTTCATTCAGCAGTCATCACAATTGACATGCAGTCTTGATGATGGTTTACTTAACATACAGCATTGCACAAATCACACAGTATCAGTGTGTGCTACGCTACATTGTGAGGCAGAGAATGTGTAGATGCATATACTAGTAACTGTTGTTTTTGAACATATAGATATGTATAGCTGAGTGCTTTTGGACATGTGTGACTCACGAGATCCATCCATGTTGTGTATTGCATGTATTGTAAATCAATCAAATGGATGTCAGCTCATTTTCAAACACACCCACACATACACCAGCATAAACCTGTTAGTAGAGCTATTACACTACAGAGAACTTTTTGCCTCAGGCAAGCAAACATGATGGACACCTTAATCTTATATTTTTTATAGCTAGTATATGAATCTTAGACAAAAGAACACTCAAGACTTTCATGATAGCTTAATGACAAAAGCATTTCTATCATGGAGCTAAAGGATGTTTAATGTCTATCAACTCTTCCCAGATCACCTTTGCAGGTAACAGGGCATGTTTCCTGGTTCTTGCACCTTCAATCTGGAAGCAAAATTATAGATTAAGAATAAGGTAGTTGTTAGTGTGAGGTCTATCTACTAGTTTGTGTAGTCTGAAAATCATCATCTCACACATTCAATTGCATGGTGCCCTGCAGGTGAAAACTCACAGAAACATTTAGAGGAAGAATTCACTACAAACATGTTTCATATTCCCAGTATACGCATTAAAATTAGATATGAAGCAGGCACAGGAAATCAGAGACAGTGTACATTCAATGAAAGAGCATTACAGTAATGTAAAAAGACCTTTGAAAGGAACTCGAGAATAGGTTAATTTTTCAATGCATCATGGTTTTGGACAAAAAGTATTGGCATACCTCAGTAAGCACTTGGTCGAGATTGACCAACACCCTGTCAGCATCCTCAGTAGTGAAGCACATGGGACCCTTCAGTTTTAGCACGTTCCGATGGGGGCCGTCTGTACTCAAGAGAATGTACCTCTCCTTCATCCTGCAACAACCATACACAAGTGAACAACAAAGCAAGGATTTCAGACATATGTCAAGTATTTGGAGTTGTTGTGGGTGTCTTCTTTGATTTCTGTTGTACTCAAAGCTTGGTTGTTCAGCTGTACTTAAACCTACACCTGGGCACATTCAATGCATTTTAATCCTCAGACATGGGAACAATACAATCAATACATGTAACTTCAGGTCGATGAAAGTACCAAACAAGCCCTTGCTGCATTTGCAGAGTTCCAGCAATGCAGACACTCACCTGTAAATGACGTGTTGTGCCTCAGCAGTGGCCGGTTCACGGCTGGTCTTGTCTTTAACCAGGTCTACTCCAATGAAAAAGCCAAGGCCCCTATAAAATAAGATTCACAGATATTCCATTGTTTTACATGTACTTCAGTGGAAAAGACAAAGTCAGCAATCCAACTCTCTCTTAATAATTGCCAAGTTTCCTACCACAATTTGGCCTTTTTCTTCTTATTGTTATTGGATGTTGTTGTTATTGGGTAGGACATCAACTCTTTGCATCTATTTTAACTAGTGGGACTAGTAAGTAAAACATTTCAAAGGTTACCTGACATCACCAATGATGTCGTGCTTCTCTCCCAGCTTCCTGAATCCCTCCATGAGATAGTTGCCCACTCGGCCGGCGTTCCCCATCAGGTCCTCCTTGTCAATCACATCCATCACAGCCAGGCCAATGGCACACGAGACTGGGTTGCCTCCAAACTGGCAAACAGGAAGAGTGAAAACATCGGATTAAATTACCAGTAATGGCTAGTGTAATCCCTGATTTTTTCACTGTACTTTTATGTTCACGGTTTTCACAGTCACTTCTGAACCACTACCATTACCATTAACAAATAATTCATCGTTCACCCAGCTTCTCCTCCTTACTGTGAAAACCTCTCATTTCTTCAAGCCTATAAACACGATTAGAATTGGATTAGGCCAACATATTTGCAGTGTTATGCATTTGCAATGGAGCAGCCACCGGGAAGCAAAACTTTCAAGATTTGCAGAACTCACTGTGTTGAAATACTCCATTCCTGTTGCTCCGAAGGCCTCTGCGATTTCTGGTGTTGTTACAACAGCAGACATGGGATGCCCGTTTCCGATCGGCTTTCCCATGGACACAATGTCTGGACAGGCCTCGTCATCGACTGCCTGGAAAGCCCAGAAATGTGAGCCCACCCTGCCGAAGCCAACTTGTACTTCATCTGCAATACACACTGCTCCAGCCTCTCGCACGTGCCTGATAGATATTAAAGCAATAAAGACAGAGTGTTCAACAAATGCATCTACATCACATCAACATTTTACACTTATCCTCTATCAGTTAGACATCTTAGCATTTAACAATCTACAGAGCACAACACTTTCATATCTCCATATACATGTAGTACTGTTTTTATTGATAAATAATCTATTTGAAAATAACAGCCTTTCCTAACTTAAGTTCTCCTTTCAGAAATAACACGGTGGAACATACTTGTACACCTCCCGCAAGTAGCCTTGTGGCATGATAATCTGGCCCCCACAGCTTTGTAGAGACTCCGAAATGAAAGCAGCAATCTGAAGAGAAAAGGCTAGTTGAGAGAAAGCATTTCTAACACTAACAGACAGAAAACCAAGATTTTATAATTACTTTCTCTTGATAATTCAAACATTACTTCTGATGTTCAATGCCCACTGCTGTATAAAAAAAAACTGCCATAAGACGGTTTGTTGTATAACAAAATCCATCATCTCCAGCTACCTTTATTATTAGCTTACTGATATAACTTTTGATGTGGTAATCTAATCAAACCATGCTAAAGCTGGGGTAATCTTGAATGGATTGCAACAGCTGTCTATGTAATTGCATTTAGGTTTGTATCACTTACATAAGAAAGTACTTAATACATGTACATGACAGAGATTATATACAATTTTCATCACCATGACAACTCTGTGAAATAGTAATAAAATCTTAACTCCTGCTAGAATTAGATACCGAACAAATAAAAATTTAAGTGTCCCAGAAGAGCTTACAATCAACTAATGGCTTTGAACACTGGAGGCCAATAATAAAACAAATGGTATTATTAAGATATGGGATGAACTAAGATAGTTCTGTCACAGTTGCTTACCTTTCTCCCTCGCTTACGAGCACCATCAATGACATGCTTTGCCTCCATGGCATACTTCTTCCCAACCTCAGGTACATTTTCACGGTAGAGACCTCTGTAGACATCTGGTACAGGTACCTAGAACAGAGTCATCCCTTAACGTTAATGTACATACCTGTAACATTCTAAATTTACAAGCCATGCTATTCCTTTGGAAAAACAACAAATGTGGAGAGATCGCAATGATAATTTTTGACAGTTATATCCCTATGTTCCGAGTCTTCTGACACCCCTACATTCTGGCAACTTTGAGACAACATCACCCAACCTTTAAGACAAGGAAGCCCATACTTACCAAATGAACAAATGGCTTCTGTCCCTCCCCACCTGTGTGGTTAAACTTGTAAGGACTGATGTCAATAAGGGACGATACATGGCCATGGTATCCACTGAAAACAAACAAGAAATAACCTCACACATCTGTGAAACAATGGTTGTGAATTTCTTGTTCGTATAGACACACAAGCAACCAACAGACAAACATACCAAAAGTAAATAATTTTTATATAAGTGACACACTTGAATACAACACGTACTTACTTGTCCATCACAACAACATCATAGTTTCCTGTGTATGTCCTTGCTAACCTCAGGGCCAAGTCATTTGCCTCTGAACTGGAAAAAAATGAAGTGCAACTTTTACTTCAACTTAACAGAGGATTCTCTGTAAAATAAATGAGATTGCTGTACTACATACATGAATAGGCAGGAGAGACAGTGCTAATAATAATAATATCACACTTTTGGAACAGTAACTACAATCTCCCGGGCCTTTCTCAATCAAGAAAACCTAAAAAAACACATTTCTACCAAAATCATGATTTTGTCATTAAAAATTGTGGGACTATTCATCTGCCACTCTCTCTCTCTCTCTCTCT